ATATGAATAACTGAGGATTTAAACCTTAATATCACCTTCAAACATAGAATTTGCATTAGGTCAAGCCACAAAGCAAGTCTGAAAAGGGTTCACCATCTTAGCAAGTGAAATAGAATCAGAAAAATCTCACGGGGTATTTTTAAACACGAATTTTGTAGATGACCTTGCAACATAATTATAGAACTGAAAAAAAAAATATGCAAAAGAGAAAGCCGAACCATGCCCAAATTTGGTGAATGACTCTAGGCATCTGCTGCAGGTTGAGTTAATCCATACTGTACAAGCAATTTGTTCAGGGATTCTGGCGAGTGCACCTGGTATTTGACTTTACCATTGACAAGGAACACCTCTGCTAGCTCAAGCTTCTCTGAAGTAAGACTTGTACTGTCCATAGTCTTACTGAGAACCTTCAGAACAAGTTGAACCGCTTCCTCTCTTGTGATCTCATCCTTGTAGTCCTGCTTCAACATTGACTGTGCTGCTTGATTGTTAGCACCGATGGCTGCTGCCTTCCAACCACCATAGTTACCACTTGGATCACTCATGTACAGTTGGAAACCATAGTTCTTATCCCACCCTGCAAAGAGAAACGAGACACCAAATGGACGAAGCCCACCAAACTGTGTGTAACCTTGTTTGGTATCGCACAGAGACTGAACTAGCTGCTCAACAGGCATTGGTTCTTGATAAGAAAAAGTATACCGTTGAGCTTGTACTCTAGCTGTGTTGATGAGGATGTTGGCATCTGACATTATTCCAGCCACAGCACATGCAACATGGTCATCAATCTTATACATCTTTTCAGTGGATGTTGAAGTCTGAAGAAGCTTTGAGGTAACCTTCTTTTCACCTACCAAAACTACGCCATCTTTAGCTAAGATACCTATTGCACTCCCTGCATTTCCAATCGCTTCCATTGCATATTCGACCTGATATAAACGACCTTCTGGAGAGAAGATAGTTGTGCGGCTATCATATCTTCTAGACATTGTATATTCTGCAGCAAGTAAACCAACATAAGTTCATCCAGTACTTTTTAGATCTAATGACAAATTTATAGTGTATAAATCGAATAAGTTGTAAAAACTTCCAGAACAATAAAAAGACACTAATAGCCTGTTTGGCAAGCTTTTTTTGGGCCAAAAGTGTTTTTTTTGGGGCCAAAAGTGTTTTTTTTGGGCCAAAAATTGAGGTGTTTCGCCAAGCTTTTAGAAGGAAAAAAAGTGCTTTTGAGGAGAAGTAGAAGCATATTTTGAGAAGCAGAAAAATGTAGCTTCTCTCCAGAAGCACTTTTCTGAGAAGAACTTTTGAGAAAAATACACTTAGAAGTAATTTTCAAAAGCTTGGCCAAACACTAATTACTGCTCAAAAGTGCTTTTCAAATTAACTAGCCAAACACAAACCGATTCTCACCAAAAGTACTTTTTTGAAAAGCACTTTTGAAAAAAACACTTCTCAAAATAAGCAGATTTTAGAAGCTCGGCCAAACAGGCTATAAGTTCTGCTCAATCCAAGCTATCAAAAAGAACTTTGCACTCATGAATTGTAAACATTAATGTCCACAAGTGGAAGACCCTGCAGTGACTCACGTGTGAAACAAAATAACTTTGAAGCATAATATCCGAAGGCAAATTGACTGCACATGAAGGGAATATGACAATTAAATAATTCAACTTCTTGGGTGCATTTGCAACTCCGATCTACAAACATGGATATAGATGCATATGATGACTTAAATATATCTTCCCTTTCCTTAAATGTTTTTAGTTTGCTGCACTCATTTGCTGCAAAGCTACCAATTATCTGTCAGCTTATGGAATCACCATTTTAAGATATCATGCATCTCGGTCAAGTTAATGGAGTCATCTAGTTATTTCATTGTTCCCATTGAAGGGGTGGGCATCAGTCGGTTAGGTTTTGCAAAAGTTTACTTTGGTCTTTTGGTTTTTGGTTTGTCGATTTTGATAACCAGAACCGAACAGTAGTAATTTCGGTTTGGTTTGACCTTTTTTCATGTTCGGTTCGGTTTTTCAATTTTTCTTCATCTCACCATCTACACACAATTATTCCACTGCCAGCACCGTCCGTGCACCCGTAACCATCACTATTCACTGGTCAGACCACATTCAATAAAAAATTCACACCAGCCACTGTCCAACTCCACCCAGCTCCATCGCCATTTTCCCAAACTCTCACATCAAACCACTGCAACGCCACCTTCCTTCATTAAGTTGATCACCATCAATTTCTTTCCAAAGCCATTCTACTTCTCATAAACCACCATACCTCTTCTCTGAAACCAGCCACAACCACCATTCAACAAAACTAGTGGCTCTCCAATTCTTTTTCTGCTCGCCCGTCTCTCTCTCTGAACCAATTCCATATGCATCACTGAAATACTCACAGACAGTCTCAAACACTCGCTGCATATATTTTCCATTACTCAGAAGCATCATCTAAAATCACCAAAAACAACCAGTGACATAAGCTTCCTTCTCTCAAAAACCCACTTGACATCCATCTTCAACAGAGGACCACGAAAACCACCAAGCCTCCGCCCTTTCTTGATTAAAACTTTGGTTTTTTGGTTCACCCGAAAAGGGTATCCTTGAAACCGACATCGAACCGACGTTATAGAAAATTAAACGTGAATCGAGAATAAACCGAAAAACCAAAATTTTCAGATTAGCCGGGTTTTTTGCCCCCTTCAGTTTTTCCGGTTTTATACCCATCCCTAGTTCCCAAGGAGTAGACAGAATGGTTAGCTTGGTTTTTGCAGAAGTAACTCATAGGTACGTGCATATGCATGTTGCCAAAAGGAAGCAACAGTAATTAGAGTAAAAAACAAAGTAAATACGGAGTACCATTGCGGCTTTGTCATGCAGCTTCTTCAAAGTTACATTTTCTTGAGACATCCTTTTGGAAGGCAATCTAAAAGTTGTCCTTGTTGCAGCGTTTCAAGGTAAATTGGGGATACATCTTTCAGATGAGAATACAACTGCAGACGAACTTTTAAGACAGGATTTGTATGTTTACTAAAAGGGACACTGGTCACAGCAATCAAACACGCATATCAATAATCTCCTAACGACAGCCCATGTAACCCCCCCCCCCCCC